GGGGGGGGGGGGGGGCAAGGCAGGCGCCTCACACGCATGCGTAAGGGCGCATGCACACGCACCGGGCCACAGGTGATGAACACCTGGCCATCGGCCGAGGGGAGCCGGCTGAGGAGGAAGCTGCGCGAGGCGTCGGCCGTTGACATGCGCTCGAACAGCTGGGCATTCAGGGCGTCGATTTCCTTGGCCAGAGCCGCCACCGAGGGGGAGCTCTGATCACCGAGGATCGGCGGGATGTACCGCACCGCGCCCAGGTACAGGGGGTTCATGCGGTGCTGGTCGCCCGGGGTGAAGACATCCAAGCAGGTGTGCTCGCGGCAGGCGCGCAGGAAGCAGCCCTTGGCATCGAAGCGCGCCCCGGCCGCCGGTGCCCCCTCGATGGGGCCCGTGCTGGCGGCCGTCGCGCCGGCCGGGGCCGATCCGGCCCCGGCCGGCGATGCCGTGCTATCAACAGCCCCAGAGGCGCCTCCCTGCGACCCGCTGCTGTATGCCACCAGTAGAAGAGGCGTAATTCGAGCCACGGCCTTCGACAGCTCGGCCAGGGCATGCGGGTGGGCTGGGAGAAGGTTAGCAAGTGTCCAAAAGAAAAGGGGGGGGGGGGCGGGCATGTGGTCGCGCATGCCAGCGTATGCACGGCTTCAAGCGTCCGGCGAGGCCAGGCCAGGCCAGGCCAGGCCATCAAACAGCCGGCAATGCGGCCCATCGGAGGCTCGCCGAAACCCGCGAAAGACACGCACTTGGACGGCAGGGGTCCAGCCGGATGAACACGCCCCGGCCATCGGGGGCGGCCGGCTGTGACTGCAGCTCCAGGGTCAGGGCCGCCCAGGGAGCCCCGGCGGCCGCCTCCCTCACCAGCTTCCCGTACAAGGCCTTGGTAAGGTGCGCGCCGGCCAGCGGATCGGCCCCGGCTCCAGGCAGCAGTTCCGGCCCGATGGCGAAAGACAGGTACTTCAAGCTCGGCGGGACGGTGACCGCCGCCGGCGAGACGGAGCCCGCGGCAGGCGCCGGGCCCAGGTAGGTGGCCGTCGGAGCGCCGTCGCTCGGCACAAAGCGCATCACCGCCTCCATGGACCGGGCCAAGTGCCGGACCATGTCCTTTTGGCCCATGGCCTGCA